CGGCGGCGTGGCGGCTCCTGCGGCCGGAGCGGTGCCTGCGGTTGATGGAGGTGTGCGCCGATCCAGGTGGGCGGCGGGGGCTCCGGGGAGGCCGAGCCTGGAGGGGAGAGGGGGTGGCTGGGACACCCGAGGCCTCCTGGCTGTCACCTCTGAACTGCTCCCAGGCCGTTGGCGTGGGGTCTACGCAGCCCCCTGGGTATTTATTAGGCTCTTTCGGCTTCGTTATCTCTGTCGTTGCTGTCGTGACTGCGGACTAGATGTGGTTTGATTGCAGTGGGCAGCTGCTGTGGTCCCTGCCTTGTTCCTGAGCCACGTGGAGAGAGGACCAGCCCCTCCAGCTCTGGGGCTGACAGGCCCAGGCTGGCACCTCTGGAAAATGAGCTCTTAACTTCTCCGGGCCTTGTTGCAGAAGCAGAAGGGTGGTGCTTCAGCCCCAGAGGGCTCTGGGAGCTCGCCTTTATAGAGCACATGTTTCTGATCTACTTCTGAGACAGCAAGCTTCTGGCTGTTAATTTGCTCACGTCCTCAAGGGTCGTTAGGAAGAGATAAGAAGACCTGCAGTCCAGAGCTCAACCGCCTGCTCAGGCTGGACGATGTTACCTGCTATCTGGAACTCGCCTCTTTGTTCAGCTCTGAGATAAGCCTCTGGAAATACCAGTGCCTGAAATATGTTCTCCAGGTACCTGCCAGAGGGCTGAGTCTGCCTCCAGAGCTGCCCTGCCTGGTCAGGGAGGACATTCAGGGCATCAGGACCCCATAGGTCACAGCACAGAGGGTTTTTTGGCAGAAAATGAGGCGGCTTATTCTACAGTGCTGGCCGCCAGGGTGTCCCTGAGATCCTGTCCCCTTCCTGGCACTTGCAAGTGCCGCTGCTGATCCCCTGACACATCTGACTGCCCGGACCATATTTCTAATCCCCTGTCCCTGAGGGAGCAGGGCTGCTGGCCCGTTTCTCACCCTGCAGCTTGCCTGGGCAGCCCAGGGTCTCTGGGTGGGTGGATGGGGGGGTTTCCCTATTGGGGGCAGAATGATGGGTGTGACACTGCATCCCGGTCCCCAACGGCTTGAATCCAAGCTGCAGCTCATCCCTGTGCACATGTAATTAGATCCATAAGAACTGTATCTTGAATTGCTCTGTATGTTAGCATCTGTCATGCACCACTTTTTGCTAGTTATGTTATCCTTATGCTACACGTTCACTCCGATAATTACTAGCAGCAAGATTTGTTTAACTAAACATGTTTTTTTAAGGACACTTGTTTTGTATCCTTAAACGTTCTGTTTAGAGACTTGTTGGTCTGCTTTCTTTCCTCCATGCAGGTCTTGGTCAGGTTCTGTTGGCTGGATGGCAGCGATCAGCTGCTTTATCCAACACAGTTTTGAGTAAATTATTACCATGTTTGCACCAATAAAATAATTAGACGTCATATTCTGGGGGTGCATAGCATGGCTTTGCCTGAGGAAGATTCTCCCTGTTTGCTCTAACACAGGCCTGTTGTTGTGCTTATTATTCTGTCAGTAGAAAAGTCTTTGTGGGATAAATACTGTCATCTGTTCTGTTGTGGAATTTGCTGCAAAGTTGTGGGTACAGCCAGTGCTTGGGAGGTGGTGGAGGTTCCAGAAGTGTATTTGAACAGCTTTTCTCCAGGTGAGGGATCCCGTTTGAGCGGGGTCAGCCTGATGAGGCAGGCTGGCTGGTTGCAACGCACAGCCTGCCAAAGAAAATGCCGTGTGATTTCTCGCTCTGAAAACTCCACCGTGGTGATTATATCAGCACCCAATGAGTCCTCAGAGTTTCTCTCTGTCCCTGGGTTTCACATTCCCCTCTGCCCTGGTGCTAATCGGTTTAGTTCTTGCTCATCTCTTCTGCCCCCATTCCTGCCTAGGTCTCAACCCTGCTCCTGCCTTCCCAACCCTCCTCTCCACCCCTTACCTCATTGCACCAGCCAGAAGCTTTTCTCCTCCTCTTCCCGGGTGCTCGGGTGCTGGCAGAGGGAGCGCAGGCACCACGAAGGAGCCTGTCCTGTGCCTTGCAGCACCCAGCCCTGTACCCTGAGGTCCGTCCTGCTCCAGGGAGCAGCTTGGGGCTGAGCTGGGCAGTCCTGCTGGCAAAGCTCCTCGTAAAACAAGGCGTTGATATTTTTAAGGTGGACAAACAGCATGTTCTCAACTCTCCCCTTGCATTCTTAGAAATAGCTGTGCTATTTTGTTGAAATATCTCAAACAAATTCAGCCTAGAGCAGGTATGCGTCAAAGAAAACAGTCCAAACACATGGTTTGACAAGGCTGCAGACAGCTGTAAGGAAGGTGCCTAATGGATGGTGTCAACTCACGTTAGCTACGATTGACAGTACTTGCAGAGCCAGTAATTAAGAGCACATTCTCCCTGGGCTCCCCAGCGACATCCACATGTGTGCCCAGCCTGGCCGCTGGAGTAGCAGCGTGCATGGGGGGGGATGGAAACAGGGCTGAAGTGTGCATCCAGGGATGTGTTGGGGCTGTGCACAGGTGGTGGAACCTGGCTTCCTAGTGACTAATTGTTCAGCCAGTTGGCTAATTTTAGTCGTCTTTCACAGAGAAAGAGAGATATTAAAAAAATAATTAAGTTTCTACAAATTTAATAAAATTTGTTCTTGGGGGAATAGAATAGCTGGCTTTGAAAGTTTGCCTTTAGTAACCTAGAATGCACGAGCTGATTTTTACAGTAATTGTGGCAAATTGCCTGTCACTGTCCAGGTACTTGGCTGAAGAAGAACAATTTTATAGGTGCCTGCAGGGATGGTCAAAGTCAATAATTCAGTTAGCAATCCAGCCAGCAAGTGCATGCACTGTAGGAAGCCAGACTTCCTACGCTTGCAGAATTCCTTGTCTTGCACTTGTGTTTTTGTTGTTGTTTAGTAATGCTGATGAAATACCTCTTTTTCCTCACATCAGGATGTTCTGCCCTTCTCCACAGGTCTCCTCAAAGATCCTGGCTCAGATGCTTGGGTGAAGGTTTTAAGTTCCTTGGACTGTAAATATTCTTTTGAGCCTCAGGCAATTCCCTGCAGCATAACCTGGAGAAGAAACATGCCAAACACTCTGTCCACTCCAGTAAGTACTTCCAATCTTCTCTGTACATGTAAACTGGCAACAGATGTGCTGTGGGGAGAAAGTTTTGACTTGCCTCTCTAGGCTGGGCACTGGAGCCTCAGAAACGCTGATTACTGGTGACCAGTTAGCTTGGGGAATGGAGCTGGGTCTGATTCTCATGCAGATTATTCCAAAGCCAATGTCTTTTAAAGATTTACATCTCATTGTTTTAGGCAGGTGTGCATCTAGGGTGAGCCCAGGGAACCTGTAGTAAGCAAGAATGAGACCACTACAAGTCGTTCATACGGAGGTTTCACTTGGGTACTCAGCAGCATTTCCAGTCCAGATGCTGCGCATGGCATGCTGCCACGGGCAACAGCTGCATGTCTGGAAGAGGCTGAGCAAATGTACTGCAGGGCCCCTCGTTTGGAAAGCCCAATGATTGCTTCTTGAACCCCCTCACTGGGAACCTGAGAGGGCAGGTACCTTCTGGTACCAAATACAGTTCCCATTCAGTTTGGTTTCGGAAGGTTCTGTTTCAAATGGTATCCACATGGCAGTGGAGGCTGAGGTAGGCTGTTCTCGTGCTCACCCCCACTACAGGAATTTCAAGCGGGGGCAGAGCTCTATTTTTGCTGTTACTGGATAAAACATTGCAGATACTGTGGTCATATAATAGACTACAGATAAAGTAGGTGCAGATAACGTGGTCATCTAAGTGTGTGCAGTGCAGACAAAGCCATTTTGTGTCCTTTCATCTTAGTTAGCATCTTCTGCAGTTGTCACTGCCTTCCTCGACAGGCTATTTTTGCACTTTCAATGACTTGCTTGTTCAGGGAGGATTTTTACCTTTCAGTTCAGCCGTGGTCTTTCACCAGCATAGTATTAACATAGTGAGTGTTAGTGCCTCTTACAGTGTGGGCTCTGCACAGGTGGACACTTGCTGTCTGCTTTCAAGCTGGACCTCTGCTTGTGTTGGAAATTATTTCGTCTTCTTTAGGATGGCCCCATGGTGAAGACTGAAGAGGAGAAAGAGGTGTTGGTGTTGGTAGAGCCGGAAGATTTTCTTAAGCGCCTCTTTTCCCTAACCCAGGTGATACAGATCTCGGAGCCAGACCTACACAAAGTGCTCTACAGCAGTCACTTTGCCAAGTGAACATGAAAGGAGAGGGAGGGTTTATTCAAAACTGCCGTTGCTCCACCCTGAAACAAAGCTGTGCTACAGAGGGCGGTGGTTTGCAAGGAGAGAACTTGTGGGAGAAGCCATATCTGAGTACAGCAGGAGGTCTTTAGGGATATATGCAGGCACCTGTCTTTAACCCTCGGACAGGGTGCTGCTTTCCTCAGAGGGCAGGCCAGACTTGCCTTTCCTTGCATTTATTTAGCTTTTCCATTCTCATGGAGTCCATAAAAGACTTGCTTGAAAGAAATGTTCAGAGTACATGGCCCTTGGAAACACTTGCATTTTGAAGCAGAGAGATTTGTGTTAGTTCTCATTTGTGTGCAGTCCTACAACATTTTATTTATACCTGTCT